TCATTCATGCCTATTTATTCTTGCCTATCTTTATGCTTTTTATGCTTACATGCTTTCATTTTCTTGTATATATTCTGTCTAACTTATCATGCATTGTTTCTCTTCTTGGGGGTAGTTTAGTAATTTGGGTTAGGAATTGTTGGTAAAGGTTTGTATGTTCCTTCACACAAGCACTAAATAACTTGCATTTTCATTCTGCATGAGCTTATACCGGAGCTCTATCCCTTTAGGAGGAAGTAAAGTAGCTTACCTTCGTGTGACAATCGTCTCCGTGCGGGTTTTGCCAAATACTTCCACTCAGTCTGGACCTTACTAGCCTAGAGTGGGCGACAGTAAGGACAGTCTGGGAACCTTTAGATCCAGCGTGAAACCTCACCCAGCATGTAGATCCTCGAGAGACATCCAGCCTAGGTAGAGCCAATCCCGTGAGGATGAACCCGGGTACACAAAAGGAACATTTCTAACCTTTACTATTTCGTCTTTGCAAAATTGGATCGTAGAGTGAGCAATCGCATTGCTCACAATAAGTGGACCAACCTGCCCCAAGGCAACATATTTGCCAAGAATTTCATGAAAATTGGTTTTTGACAAAATAAGTAGGGGCAATTCCTTTTTCAAGTTTTTTCTTTAATAGTCATTTATTTGCTTTTCTTTTAACATATTCCGAATTGTTACTGACATTCCTCCCTGTGTTCTTATTTTCCCCTTTATTTCTCTTCGGCATCATTCATTTTTCATTCATTTCACAGGAGTTGCCAGATTACAATCGGGATGCAAGATGCTCGATTAAGTCCTAAGATTGAAACCTTTTCAAAGCTTAATCGAGTATCTTTCGTTCCCATTGTCCTGTGGCAAATGTCTGGACATTTCATCTATGAACATATCCCATTTCATTCAAACGTAATAATGCATTTAGTCATGTTTAACTTGATATAAATTGTCATGCATCATAACATCATTTACATTCATAAAGGGGTTTCTAATTCATGGTTTCGTTCTAAAGGTTTTAAGATAGATCAACATCTGCAACACCGATATTTCACGCGGTCAAAAGCTAGAGCAATGGCAGGACAGACTAGTGAAGAACTTGAGGAACTGAAGCGTGATAGAGATGAGATGAAAGAACAGTTGAAACAAATGATGGAAATGTTGAACAAACTGACTGGGCCTTTAGATACTACACCAAAAGAGGGAACAATGAATCAGAAGGCAGATGATTCTAATGGAAAGGTTGATGTAGGTAGCAACCCTAAGAACAACGGCAAGGCACCGGCTGATTTGGTTGACAATACGCCATTAGGGTACGTCTATACACATACGACACCATATTATGCTCATCCTGAGACTTCTGGTGGTGGTACTTATGTCCCATATCCCATATTCCAGTAATCAGAAAAACACAAAAAAGTTCTTCATTCTCCCTTTCATAGATTCCCAGTAACAAAGAAAAACACACAAAAAAAAAGAATTTTCTTTTCTTTTCTTTCCTAAGAGTAACATCACAGAAAACAAAAAAAAATGATTTTCATTATCAACAACAACAAAGTCTTGAGAAAAAACCTCACCTTTTAGTATTACCTAACTTTTTCTTTATTTCTTATCCATCCTTTAGATTGATTTAGCCTTTACCTGCAAAAACGATGAATGGAGGGTTAGCCTTTGATTAGAGAAAGTTAGTAGCTAAGAGAGTCAGATCCAAATATTAGTCTGTCAGAGTAAAGTAGCAAGGGAGGAGAAGAAACTTATCTTGAATTCGGCTAGATCCGGTGGCCGGATTTCGAGATCTGAGCATCACAACCTTGATTCCGACGTGTTCTTTTTGACGGATTTCGTGGCTGTTTTCAAGAGTTTGGGGCTAGATCTGTAACAAGGAAATAGAAATGATCATAACCGCGAGATTTCAACAACAAAGGACGCTCCAGCGGTGGTGGACACGGCGGTGACAACATCCGATCAAGCTAAGAGAGAAAGAGGGGCTAGAAAAAAAATTTGTGGCGACTCCTTTAGGCCAGGCTCAGTTTTCCTTAAGTCGTTCAACGGTAGGGTTCGGACCCCGGACCCGCACGTTGCGACACCAAGATCAGACGATCAGGCAAAGCACACAACTTCACAAATCGGGAAAAATTTTTGAGCAGCGCAACCAAACAGAATTTCCAAAGTCTGCTGAGAATCCTTCAGGAGGGATTGAGGAAGTTTCTAAGGAGAATCAAAGCACCACGCAAATCAGAGGAGTTTGCAATGAGGACGTTAGAGAGCTTCCAAGCACAAAGTGCGATGATCTGGAGAGAGCGGAGAATGGTTTTTTTTTTTAGGCAAAAATTTGGAGCTTGATGTGAGTATTTCGACGGATGACTTAAAGAGGTTGGAAGCAAGTATTGTCGTTCAAAACGACTCTGCTGAAAACATTGGCAAAATTGTATCCATTATTAAAGATCTTAATATATATTAAGCTAATTGTTCGTGATATTAGTAACGTTATGTTGCTGCTTTCTTGTGATGATGAACCTCATTGTGAAGACTTCATTTCTACGTTGAAGTTTGCCTATGAAGATTTAATTACTGATATTTATCATTGGAGTCCGACGAGATTCATTAGGAAGTCTCTTGTTTGGGTGTAACTAGAGGAGGTTCCACTTGAACTGTGGAATGTGGACTTTTTCTCTACTCTCGAGAATAGATGGGGTAGTTTTATTCAAGTTGATGATAAGACAAGGAGCAGAAGTTCTTTGAGGATAGCTAGATTACAAGTGATGGTTTCTAGCTTGTCAGACATCCCCAAATTGGCGGTGGGCAAGTCCTCGGGCTCTAGCTTTAAGATTTTGGTTACGGTGGAAAAAGAAAGTGATGATGTTCTTCCCGACCGGATTCAGGCAATTGCAAATGGTATTTCCGGTGACGTTCCTACAGATGATTGCAATAATTTGGCATTGATATGCTCCAATGAAGTTAATGTTTTGTCGACCAATGCCAATTCTCTTTCAGGGCATAGCATGGGGAAAAGGAATTTCATTCATAACGGCTACTCGAGTTCCTTGAGAAATGAGGTAGTGAAGGAAAATTTTTTTTATAGTGGTGGGAACTTAATTAAGGGAGATGTGAATGGCTTCAAGCATGAGCTGCACGTTAGGAATTCTGGTGGGAAATTTGAAAATTTTAAATACGTGTGTGATGATTTTTTAGAAAAGCAGCACGCTTCCGACCTAGTATTTCATGAGAGTCCAATTAACTCTAGCCCAATTGATAGTGGTTCAATAGCTGAATTTAAGGAGTGATATGGGCCCAATCAATTTAGAATGGGGGTAATCAAGAGAGCTAGTGGGCCGGCGGTGTAAAGGTTCCAGATGTAAAAAAGTGTGATAGGTTGAAAAGGAAAAAGGCTAGAAGGGGTGTTACTAAATTTATTCTTGGAGAAAAGGCAATTGTGGACTTGGATTTTGATATATCTCTATCAGATAGTGATATAAGGGAAAGAAACAAGATCTTGTTAAGGCAGGCTGAAGCAAATTTCAGTGTTGGTGAAGCTCTTGGAATTGAGTTTTGCGAAAACAGGAACTAGATTGTTTCTCGTCTGGTGAGTTTAGAGCATGAGAGTTAGGCTCTTGATTATGGCTTTGGAGTGATATCTATGGTTTCTCGATGTCAAGCTGATTTTTTGTTGGTCCAAGAATCAAAATTAAACAAGGGGGATGATAGGGTGATCAGGTCTACATGGGGCAAAAATGGTTTTCAGTTCAAGGTTGCGGAAGCACTAGGCTCGGCAGGGAGCTTGATCTCGGTTTAGGATGGAATTTTTTTACTCTTGAGATTGCTGTTATTGTGCAGAGATATATAATTTGTGCTGGGTTTATGAAGAGGGTTGGATTTCATTGTGCCATTGTGAATGTTTACGCACTAAATGATGAGGAGGGGAGAGTGTTGTTGTGGAATGAATTGAAGGACCTAAAGGAGCAATTCGATCTGCCACGGATAATTGGAGGTGATTTCAATGCAGTTTTACATACCAAAGAGAGGCAAGGGAGGGATGAAAATTCTCTAGGTACCAGATCTTTTACCGATTTTACTAATGACTTACAGCTTATTGACATGCCTTTGTTGGGAGCGAAATTCACTTGGGGCAGTAACAGGGAGATACCTTCTTTCAGTAGACTTGATCGCTTCTTGGTGAGTACTGAGGTTCTTATAAGTTTCCCTGATATCAAGCAAAAGCTAAAGCCCAAATCCTTATCAGATCACAACCCAGTTTTACTTTTCGTTGAGAATGTAAATTGGGGACCTAAGCTATTCAAATTCTTTAATCATTGGTTTGAAATGGAAGGATTCCAGGAGATGGTTGCTAATGCTTGGGATAACAATAGTGGTGGAGACTTATTTCAGCGTTTTCGTCTCTTAAAACCAAAAATAAAGGAATGGTACAAGGCTTGTGGCGAGGCTGATTTTAGAAGGATTGAAATGGTTGAGGAGCAGATACATCAGTTGGATTTGAAAATTCAGCAAGGCGAGAACGTAGAATCTAATAGAGAGGAGATGACACAGAAAAGAGGTGAGATTTGGAGGTTGTATAGATCGGCTGAAAGATCATGGCAGCAAAAATCTCATTTGCAATGGCTACGGGAGGGTGACAAGAACACAAGATTTTTCCAATTGGTAGCAACTAATCGAGCTCGAAGAAACCATATCGATCAAATTGAGGTTGATGGGAGAGTTGTTGTTCACCCAGAAGAAGTAAAAGAAGAAATCTCTAGCTTTTTTGAGAGGTTTTACAACCTTAAGACATCGGCAAGAGTGTCTGATATTGGTTGCCAGTTTAGATAGGTTTCAACAGAGAAGGCAGAGTGGTTAGAAAGGCCAGTTAATGAAGATGAGCTTTGGGAGGCCATCAATGAATGTGATGGAAATAAGGCCCCGGGCCCTGATGGTTTTAACCTAACTTTTATTAAAAGGGAGTTGAGGATTGTGAAGAGCAGCATATTAGACTTTATAAATGAGTTTTGCAATATTGGAAGTTTCAACAGCAACATTAACAACTCATTTATAACTCTAATTCCCAAGTGTGAAGGAGCGTCTAAATTGGATCAATATAGACCTATCACTTTAGTAGGGTGCTTGTATAAAATTTTGGCTAAGGTGCTTGCGAGAAGATTGAGTACAGTGATGTCGGATGTTATTGGAGAGTCCTAGTTTGCTTTTATTAAAGGCAGACAAATTCTGGATTGTTCTTTGATTGCAAATGAAGTTGTTGATTCAATGAGGAAAGGTGGTGAAGGCGGGATTTGTTTCAAAGTTGATTTTGAAAAGGCGTATGACAGTGTCGATTGGGGTTTCTTGGAATTTATCATGCGGAAAATGGGTTTCGGTGAGAAATGGATGAAATGGAACTCAAAGTGTGTTACCACCCCAACAATTTCAGTTCTTGTTAATGGTTCCGCTGGTAGAACTTTCTCTACATCAAGAGGGCTTAGACAGGTGTCGAAACTTTCGGGTCCGGGGGACCTTGCCGAAACGACTTTGGAAAAGGAAGGAGTCGCCACTAATCTTTTTTACCTAGGTGTGACACATTATGTCTAATACTACGGTCTACAAAGCAAAACCTGAGTCCGGGAGTCGGTTACGAGTGGGGAAGGATTATCACCCCCACAACGCCCGTCAAACGACGGTATCTCTAGTCTAAACTAAATCTAACAGGTTTAATATTAAAGGTTGCTCTTATCTTAATTATTATTCGAAAAAGGGTTATAAAAGAAAAGAAAATCATTTTTTAAACACATGTCGAGAATTCGAAGAATGTCATCAAACGATTGTCGATCAATTCTGGTTTCGATTCTCTTTCACTGTCTGTTCTCTTGTTAATCTTTTTCTCTTCGAAAAAGAAATTTTGAAAGTGTTGTGATAAAACCTTTTGTTTTTTGTTCTTAAAGTCTTTTATTTTGCTTTGAAAACTTCCCTTTTAGTCTTCCTAAAGATGGTGAGAAAATCTTCTTTTCTTATCTTTTTGGAAAACTTTTTCCATCTTTTATTGATCTTCTAATCCTGAAACTATTCTGATTTGAATTTGAAGAAAACTTCTGTTTAAATCTTAAAATCTCTTGATTACCAATTTTAATTAATTTTGAAAACTTACTAAGAGAACAATTGTTTTTGAAAAGTACTTTTGAAGAAAAATGATCTTTTTGTATTTTCTTAACCTTATTAATCCTAGAAAAAAAAAGAGAATGAATGGAGATGATACATGAATTGATAGATTTTAGTTTATCAATAAACAGTAGTATACTTGAAATTAACCCGAGACCCTTCCCACGCATTATGGGGGTATCTTGGGGATAATCCAATCTCGGAGCGGGGACCAAGAATTCGTACCCCAGTACATTCACTTGGGACCCACCCGTCATCATAAAACACAACTGTTTACTGATTTGCAATTTAGCTAACTCACATGAATAACAGTTAAGATGCCTGAAAGATCACTTTTAATTACATGTATTAACACAAGTCTACCCAAAGTCAATTCCATAAACCCTTCCCACGCATTATGCGGGTATTTATGGGAGAGACCAGTCTAGAAAGGGCTCCAAGAAATTTGTACCCAAGTACATTTGTCTAAAAGCCCCTCCATCTCGGCAAAAGACGAATGTTAATACACCACGAATATGGCAAAGTGATATGTAGCATGTATGACATGAATGCATAGGATTCTATTTTACCCCTACACTAATTACAAGCTTATTACAAATTACAAATCCCAAAGGCTTAATTAAGCCAATAACTTAAACAAAAGAAAACAAAAACTTAAGGGCCTAATCGGACTAACTGGACACTTCTGCACACTAAGAAAAACAGTCAGCAAAATTCAGGGGCATAGAACACAAATAAATAATGTATGCACTGAAAAATAAATCCAAAAATCAAGGACTAAATCAAAGTAATGCTTAACACAAG